CCCCCCCCCCCCCCCCCTAATACCCCAATTACTAAGATTTGGCTTCCAAAAGAGAAGGATAGTTTATTATATATGTGGGGAGGAATTAAGAAATATATTATATTAAAAACTAAAGTAAATTACACTTCAGCTGATTAAGCATAGCTTTAATTAAACATTAGTTCGTTCATTCAATTCTCTCTACGCTAAGGCCGCCATTGATGAGCAAGAGGAAGCTGTTAGGGCTTCCGTTAACAATTAAAATTCAAGGTTCGAAAAGAGAATATGGAGATTGAATCCTTTCTCAACTGCTAACAATATTTTCTTGATTTTCATTCACTGGAAAAACGTCACGTCTCATCTGTTGCTTCATTGGGGCATTGTTATTCCACTTCGATGATGTAATATTCTTAAACGAATGAATAATATTAGATATTAACTTCAAAGAAAAAAAAAAAAAATGCCACCATGTTTGACTGTCAACTTCATCCCAAATCAATCCCATCAATGGATTCCATTTTTTTTTTTTCCATTTTAAACACCGTTTCTAAGAAAATGGAGATGCTCCACTTCTTTTGAAACTTGAAGAACAAATATTAATTATGACCGAATTAATGGACCAAACTTATTTTCTTTTCAGTTTTTGTTTTTATTATTATCAAGCTCGAATTCCTTTTAAATAAGATGCTAAAATATTAATTAAATAAATAAATAAAAAGTTTATTTGTGCATTTATTGGATGAAAAAGCATTTTCCATCTATATTTGGACTGACTTGTCCACCATCCCATCTTTTTCACTTCTTTTTTCCTCTTTTTTTCTTTTATGTCTTTGTTTCTTTTCAAGTGCAATTTTAATTCATAAATAATTATTAAAAAAATGAAAAAATTGAAAAGGAAAAGGAAAAAGAGTTTTTTCCAAGGTAAATATGCATAACTTGTATATTAAAAGTGTGACAAAATTACGTATGTAGAAAGATTTATATGATAATTTATTTCATATTTTGGAAATTTTAGCAGCCTATATTTGTATATAGTCTGCCCGTAAATAGTAATAAGATTAAATTGATTTAATTAAAAAAAAATTAAATTATTTAAAGTATCATACTTATTAATTAATATTTTATTGAATTAGGGTGATGTGATCTAACATAAACAAATTAAACAAATATATAAAAAAAAAGAAAGAGAAAATTAATTATATAAAATTACTATTTATTGTTATTTCTATAAACAATAATAATGCATTAAAAAATAAATATATAAGATAGTTTATTGTTTTGAAACCGAGGTAATGATTGATGGTATAATTCGTAAATATATATATATATATATATTTTTTTTTTAATTTAAGATTCGTATATTTGAAAATTATATCATTAAACCATGATTCAATTTTCTTATAATTTTTCCTAATATATTTCGCAGCGAATATGTTTAGAAATTACAATTTAATAAAAAAATTATTTTAATAATTTGATTTAGTAAAAAAAAAAAAAATTAATTAGCAAAAATGGATTGGAGACAGGGGGAGGCAGAGATTACGTCAAAAATGAAAAAAAAAAAAAAGGAAAATGAAAAGAAAAAATTGGAGAGACGTCAACTTTTGGAGGAAAAGGAAAAGGCAAGGCAGAGAAAAGCATGCTTCTTTTGCTTTTTATTTTGCTTCGGATATTTGGTCGCATCAATTCATAATGCACACAAAACAATGTCCAACACACCTAAACACTTCACTTTTTATTCTAATTTAATTCCTCATTTTTTTAGTTTATCTCCCAAATCTTTTAAACTATTAATTTAATTCAAATTCATAAAATAGAAAAATTAAGATGAACAGTATGTATAACGGGTCAAAGCAAATAATATCGATGTGTTTAGGTTGTAACAGTATGACTTTTTTAATATAAAATTGAGAACACGAGAATTCAAGCCTTCAACCTAAAGAGGTACTAGAGGTCAATTACCACTGAACTATACTTGTTTTGACGACTCAATTATTATAATCATTAAATTATGTATGTTGATTTTTTTTTTTACTAAAGTTTATGAACTAAATTGTTATCTAATTGTTATCTATCCTAAAGCGTAACATTTTATTTTAATGAAAATGTAAAGAAAAAGTGATGTTTGTTGGATACAATGTGTGTTATAATACTTAAAAATAAACACTTGCATTATTAAACCAAGAAAACACTAGAGAATCTACGGGTCTCTCTCCTTAAATTTATAGAGAGAATCTTTTGATATCTTTCGATTAATATAGAATAAGGCAAAGGTGATAATGAATTTCACTTTGATCATCGCTTTATACAATAATTTTAGTAACAATAAAATATATTATTCATTTTAGTTTTTTCTACATTTATTTAAAACTATAATTTCAAATTTTTCGTGAGAAATAAAGAAATCAATTAATAATTAGCTAATAAATTAATTTATTAAATTTAAACTCCAATAGATAATTAATATTATTAATTCATTAACGACGACAACAGAACGAATTCTATCAATTTGTACTTGAGTTTTGTTTTATTCTCCTTAATTTCTATTAAAAAAAAAATTAACATGATAACCCATCAGATTAGTAAATAAGGTTAATTAATTAATAGTTAAAGAGGTGTGAAAATGTAATGTATTCTTGGAATGTTGTATTTGGTGGTGCAAGAGAAGGAAACACTCTCAACCATTGGATTTGCTTTTTCTTTAAAAAATTCTTCCTATTTGTGTTGTCTCCATGTGGTCTCAATAAAGTTTTTTTTTTTTTTTTTTTTTTTTTTTTTTTTTTTTTTTTTTTTTTTT